CCAGTGTGGGGTCCCTCCAACAGGAGATAGTCCTTCACAAACTTCTCTTCCTTCTCACGGGGTATAGCTCCTCACAAACTGCTCCAGCATGGTCCCTTCACAGGGTGCAGTCCTTCAGGAACACACTGCTCCAGAGTGGCTCCTCCACGGGGTCACCAGTTCTGCCAGCAAACCTGCTCAGTGGGGGCTCCTCTCTCCATGGGGCCACAGCTCCAGCCAGGACCCTGCTCCAGCACAGGTTTCCCACAGGGTCACAGTCCCCCTCAGCCTCCACCTGCTCCAGTGTGGAGTTCTCCACAGGCTGCAGCTGGATCTCTGTTCCTCCACGGACTGGAGGGTCACATCCTGCCTTACCATGGGCTGCACCATGGGCTGCAGGGAAATCTCTTCTCCAGTGCCTGGAACACCTCCTGCTCTTCCTTCTGCACTGACCTTGGTGTCTGCAGAGCTGCTCCTTTCACATGTTCTTAATCTTCTCTGGTTGTAATTGCTTGTGCACATCCTTTCCTCTTCTTGAATGTATTTTCCTAGAGGCACTACCACTGTGGTGGATGGACTTGGCCTTGGCCAGCAGTGGGGAAGTAGCTCTGTGGGACATGTGGGAAGCCTCTGGCAGCTTCTCATAGAAGCCACTCCTGTATGCCCCCTCTACTTCCAAAACCTGTCAGTGCAAACCAAATACACCCACAAAACTTGGACATAAATAATTTAGATAGGAACTCAGTATATCAAGTATTAAATTTGGGGAAGGGAGTCTTATTTCAAGTGAGCAATTGGTATTTCCTTAGATACTTTTAAGGACAAAAATCTGGCATTGTAAAGAACTTATCTTCCAGTCCTGCAAGATAAGTCTGCCAGTTAAGACAGAAGCTTCATTTTATGTCTTGTCAAGGCTCTGAGATGATCATGATGAAAGATGTACGACAGTGAGAGATGCACCTTAACGCTTCATGGTCTCTTTTTTTCACATTCTGCTTTTTAAGAGTCCATGCACCTCCTCTCCTTCATCCTATAGTAGTAATAGGTTTGAAGTTTGATAAAGGTATGCATAATACTAAGTTTAAGGTTGCACAGTAAATTTAAATATACTTTCTATTTTGTGTGAATGCTTAAACTAGCTGACAGATGAAAAGCAATGTACAGAAATGTTCACTATGATCTTTAACTGCAGTTATGCTCCTTATTTGCTTATAATATTGCTTTTAAACAAAGATTGGACTAAATGCCATGGGAAGAAAATGCACAGGAGAGGGAGATTTGCACATAGATATCACTGCTCTTTAAAGAAACAATGCTTACATTTTTTTACCTCTATGAACTGCTTCTCAATTTTCATTTTGTAACAAGTTGCTTACTGACTTAAGGAGGAAAGATTTAATGTATAAAATGTGAAAAGTGATGGAAGGCAGCACTTATTCAAAGGAGACTGTTGTGAAGCCCTGATGAAACTGTTGAGACTGCTGTTTTTGAGGAACCTTAGAACAGAACTAAGCAGTGCTTTGGGTGGATGAGAAAGGGCTCATATCTGTCAGGTAAAAAAAAAATTAGATCAATGTTCTCATTTTATAATACATGCATTATAAATATCAATGGTTGAGCTTTGTAATTTGCAATTAAAGGAGATTCCATTTTGCATTTTCTTTATAATAATTCTATATGGGAATGTCCTGAATTCAATATTAGTTTTACATATCTAGGTGGACAGTTACCTCCAGCAAAAGAGAAGTTCCCTGTGAAATAAAAGCACCATCTTCTTCTCTGCCCTTCTGAAGTGCCAAAAGCCACTCAAACATACTGTTTAAAATCCAGTGCTTTTACTTTTGTAATAGATTTTATCATGTATTTTACTGCTATCTCCACATGAAATAGTTTCTGTGAGAGGTCACATTTAAGATTAGGGGTTTTGCAGTGTTTTGAAATAAACTTACCATGATTCAGTTTCTGTTTTAGATGCAATTTATTTGTCTCTCTTATGCTGCCTTTTTTTTCTTTTTTTCAGATTTCAGTTAATTAGTTTTTTAAAAGAAAAAATTAAACACAATTTAAAAATATGAATACTGCACTTTTAACACATCCTAACAATATTTTGTTTGTTTAGGGCCAGTAAAGCAATGTAGAAAATACAATCAAATACAATCAAAGCAACATGTTCTGAAGGTCAAGATGCACAGCTGAAGAGAGATGATGTAAAAGATTAATCTAGAGGAGAAACGAAATAAGTTTCCTGTCATGTTTGCAATTCAAGTTTGACTACTGTGCAGTTACCCCTCCCAAATGGGGCACTTATCTTTTAATGTCTTAAATGGAAAATGAACTTTTTTTATATATATAAGTTCAGTTGGGGTGTTGCTAATGACAGCTGTGGCTATGTCCCCTTCTGGTGGTGACCATGCAAGATAGTAAGGAAGTGGGGCAAAAAGAAAGAGCTCAGAATTAGGATAATGGCTGTGGTCCACTGAAAGACAGGCAGTGTTTTGCCTGGTAGCTGCAGATGTTGCTCCTGAGGTGCCCAGGAGCGGGTGGGGGGCAGAGCAGTGGGGGACACGACTGTCTCCAGCACTCGATCCTGCTGCACTTGGTGCTTTTTGTCTTTCCGTGCAGGCCCAGCCCCTCGGAACCGCCGCTCTGCTGGCTCAGCCCGTGAGAGCCTTGCAGTGAATGCTCAGAGAATGCTCAAAGCTGTCCAGCGCTGTTTGGCAACAGGATCTGCCCTCGCCGACTCGAGCATGAAAGCTGTGCTTAGATGAGCACAAAACCCCACACCTCGGGCTGCCGGGCTGCGTGTGGTGCTCGCAACCAGGAAGCTCCTCACACAACACAACACAGCACAACACTACACAACACAACACTACACAACACAACACAACACAACACAGCACAGCACAACACAACACAACACAACACAACACAACAACGACACCGCTCGCCTGAGGGCTGGGACTTGGGCTTCGAATGAGGAATTTCAGTCAGAGCTGAACTGTGCACATACCCAGTTGCAAAAAGACACCTGATAATCAGAGCCTTCTTCTTTGCTTTGAAAAGCGGTCGGTCTTATGACCCCCGGGTTTTGTGGGGTAGTTTTCTGATTTTTTGCATTTGATCACAAAAGCAATCTTTGAGAATCATAAACGGCATCGCAATGCTATAAATTTGCGTATAAGTCATGAAGATTCCCTTACCATGTAGAGCATGTTGCTGGCTGGTGGATCCACTTGCGACCTCAGTGTGTTATGGGTTTGCACACATTCCCGAATAAACTTCGGATCCCGAGGATCAGGCAATGTCGTTGGTTCGTAAGAATCAGAGGAATAACAAAAGAGTAGTAAAGCCAGCACACAAGAAGCAAATCTGTTTGTCATTGGGAAAGGGAGAAGAAGAGAGCCGGTGCAAGCAGAAAGTCACCGCAGGGGATCTAGGGCATCCCGGGGACGGTGCCGGGGTGCGGTGCTGAGAGCCGGCGATCCCCGTCCCTGCTCCCCTCTCCGGAGCGCTCCTCAGCCTGAGGGCAGCGGGGCGTGGCCTGGCAATCCTCGGCGGGCGGGGCGGAGCGGGGCGGGCGCGGGCTGTGGGCTGAGGGCCACGGCTGCTCTGGGCTCGGGCGGGCACCCCCAAAGCCGAGTGTCCTGTTTGAGAGCCCGCTGCCTGTGTTTGTACTGCTACTCACTCGCTGTACACCACACCGCAATGGAACGCCGCCGGGAAAAGTATCAGTGTCGGTCCTGCCCCCGCAGGGCCAGCGCGGAAAGTCAGTTCATTTCTGCGGTTTGTGCACAGGCACCGAGGAAGTTTTCTTCGACCGGTTCCGTCACCGAGCACTTGCTTAAGGCATACACTGCAAATGTCATTAGCCCTTCCTTACAGTCGTGCTTCTCAACATCTGCTCTTCCAGCAGATGCTCTTTAAAAGCAGAGTGTTTTGGCTGTACGGAGTGGTTTTAGCTCTACCAGCAGCATTTTGCTTAGAAGATTCGTGGGCTGGACTCACCTTAGCCATGGTTATTGAGCACAGTTAGTCACAGGAAACCAGTCATATTTCAAGAACACTGCTATGAGAATAAGGAAATCAAGCTACAAGTTCAGATAGAGCTGTAGCAGCCTTGTCTCTTTTTTCCTTCTTTCTTTAATTGTGGTGGACAATCGTCTCTCCTGTCCTTCAGGTTTCTTTGTTACAATTTCTTTGGTCCCAGTAATCCAATTAATAGCAATCACTATGTATTGCAGAAAAGTTTTGGATAAATTTTCTTCTTTTGATGAAACTACATGCTATTAAGACTGTTGCTTTTTCTCTTTCTTTTCTTTATATATTTTCTTCCTTTCCACTACAATCAGATTGTCATAAAATAAAGCTGCCTTATTTATTTATCCATGTATTTATTTGTTTATTTATATACTGGTCATTCAGTGTCATGTCACTCTAATCCACCCCAAGGAATCTATTAACAAGAACCTTGATTTGGGCCCATTTTTATTCTGCGGGATGACAAGCTGCAATGTGGCTCAGAATTTGAGTCACTGTGTTCTTAGAACAAAGGAGGAAAAAAAACAGCTTTAAATATTGATAGCACAGTTATGCATTGCTAATATCAGTCAGTATCTCCTGGCTTGAAAGATTCCCCTCACTAACAAACATATATTGGAACAATGGGAGTCAGGTTGAAGGCTAAATGTCTCTTAAAACAAGCTGAATCCATCAGGGGTTTGGACGTTTTAAATGAGGTTGAGATATTCCATTTCTAAACCAGAATCTATCCTGGGCCCATTTAACCTTCCATCTCTGTTTCCTGCTACCTGAAAGCTCATGATGGCTGTCATCTACTCTGCATTTAAGATATTTTCACCATCTCACATCCTAAAATTAGGGTTTCCCCATTGACACACCACTTTAATTCTTACTCTGCCAACTTTCCCTGGTATTCTCCTTATGGAGAACAAGGATTAATTCTGAGAGAAGAACTAAACAGTACAACTGGCAATAGAGTAATGGACACTGCCACACATAGGTTAAATATAGCAAAGGGCAAGCTTTATTCCTGTTCACAAAAAGTAATATATATAGTTAAATCTCCATTATCTGGGGAAAATTGTGTCTGGGATAACTGAAGGTTAATGAAGATGAATTATTGCTTCTTTTGGATACAGTGTGCCACTTCAGACATGTCTTTGTGATGCCCCAGGCTTCCAGGAGGATTGTTAGCACATGGAATAATATCTACTATCTGTGGTCCCTCTAGCAATCTACCCCTAGAGCTAAGAGGCTTGTACAAACATAGGAGCATGTTTCAGCTACTTCCAATAAATTATACTACCTCTATGCACAGCCACTTATATCTTGCCTTGAGTGAAGAAGAAGCCTTTCCTATGCTGGATAATGAGAGATGACCAAATGCTTCTTTAAATGTGTGCCAATTGTGTGAGTGTAATACAGCAGTAGGATCACAATCAGTATCTTAATTGATCATTACTTATAAAAAAAAACTGTGTGGAAATTTTTGTTGTACTAGAAGTACAGCACCAGCACTCAATACGAGAAACAGTGGCCTTAAAATTAAAACAGTAAGGCAGTATTGGTCACAAGAAGGCTGTGGATGCTCAGCAGGTGGGATGTCTGATGTCACAGGAGGCCTGGGGGGCCGGGGTCGTGGTGGCTGGGGCTGTGTATCCCAGTCCGGATACCAGTTGGCATAACCTAAATGTCAGTGAAGAAACTGATGTTAAGACCTAGTGTTAGCCATACTTACAGGAAAGCCATCAAGAATTATTTGATACGTACTTATCAGCTTCTCACGTTTCGTATTTTCTGCAAAGAGATCAGAAGAGGAAAATATTGTGAGTACCATTCAATGGTGGTTCTAAATGTAAAGAGGTAAGCCTTTGCTGGTGCCTGGCTGATTGCACTGATGATGCCAGTTAATGCCAAAAACATCCTGCAAGGGGGAAGCAGGCCAGCAAGAGCAGGCTCCCAATTGGTATGGAGTTTATATTTTTTTATTGAATTGAAAGAGAAGCAGAAAAATCAGCTGTATCAGGAAGAATTTTTGTCATGGAGATGAGGGAATGAAAAATATCAAAACATGGAATTTATTTAAAATTGTTACACATACCAAATTTAAGTAGTAACAGACAGAGAAATATAACTACTAATTTATCACAGAAGTACACTTTTACTAAAAGTTTTGATGCATTTGCTGGATTGCCTATGTGTATCCTACTGAAATTCCTCATTTGTCCTATAGGAGGAAATGGTAAAAGGGGGTGGTAGTATCTAACACTTAACTTTTAAATACTTTGTTTGTCCTGTCCCTCCCCCTAGTCTTTGAGATATTTCTGGGTTTTTTTGTGAGGCGTCAGTCTGAGACTTTCAGATGAGTCAGCCAGGATATTACAGAAGGAAGTAAGAGTACCAAATGCTCAATAATTTCTACAGCTAAAGCTGTCTAGAGCCTGGCTAGTAAAGACCAGGCCCATTAAACCACTGTATAAAATTCATATTTGATTTAAGACATTGCTGCATCTCCTTTATCCTGTTTGTTTAAAACATTGCCCAGTTTGGGACTAGATGAATTGACATAAAGGTCCATTGCTGTTTGGAGCAGACTCAGAGTGACAGGGTTCAAGCTGTGTGCTTCCCTGCTGTGCCCACAGCCTGACACTGAAGAGACAGACCCAGCACAGTTGCTCTGGCTCATTAGAGGGGCGAAAGTGAGGGAGGGAGCAGGCTGAGCTCCTTGCCATTGCCCATGTCTCTTCCAGGCCCAGGTAGGATGTTTCAGGGAACACCTCCACTCCAGAGAGGTTTTTACTCCAACTCCTTTCTTTCATTGTTGCATCTTTGCAGGGTTTTGGAGTAGGCTGTGTGGGTTCAGCTCTACACTGGCTCCCAACACTGGTCAGAAATGCCTCAGCTGCCACAGATCTCCTTCAAAGGGGTTACCAGTCCTTTATTAATTGTTCCTTGAGATTTGATTAAATCCAAAAATCCCCCCATCCCCTGAGCCTTCTGAGCTCTGTTACAACTGTTCATTTAATTAGTTTCCACCAGCACTCTGATAACACTGAGCATAGTAGGGAAAAGATTTACAAACAAGATCTCACTGATGTTTTTAAGAAAATTGTGGAAGTTAGAAATAACTGCTTCCTGGTACAATCTTATTATTAGCTCAGAAATACAGTTGTCTGGAAAATGTGTTAGGACATGCTAAACATGCAAAAGAACAGAAGATATATTTCCTGTGTCTGGTAGGAGAGAAGAACTAGACAGTGAATGTTTGTGGGGGCTAAAATTTTGGATTTGAATTCCTGACCAGATAAAAGGGAGAAAATAGTATGATACTTCCCTGCATCAGAAAGTCTGGCTTCTACTTCTGAGAACCTTCAACAGCAAAGTATTTCAGTTATTTTCTTCTTACCCTATTCCTCCCAGAGTTTGGTACTGTTGCTATATGGTGTGCTAAAGACCCACTATGCACTTAGTGCAAATTGACTCGTTGTTGTTTTTCCACTGCTAATCATGTCACTTTTATTTCTATGCAATTTTCTTACTTGATCACTTTGATCTTACCACAGAGCTTGTCTACACACTTGTCATTACTGCATCTACTGCATGGCTGTCCTTCTTTATATGGCTTTCTTGGGTAATTCCCCCTACAAAACCGGAACAGTATTTTGTTAGTTGCCACAGAAAAGCTGTCAAGGGGAGGGAATACTGTAATCAAAAAACTGGTCATTGTAATTGTTTGAAATTCCTTCTAGATTGGATTAAAACTCTCACTGGCATGGGGAGAAGTTGACTCCTGCCACTGGAAATTGAGAATTCTCAGGCAATACTGTATTATTGCAAGCATACAAGAATTTGCCTCTAGACCCTCATTACCCACCTGGGTTAAAAAAACCAAACCTGTAAAAAGTAAGTAGAAACACTGTAAGGTATCAGATAAACTAGAGGATTGTCTTCCTTGTATTTCTTAAATTACAATGTCTTGTTTGAAATTTGTGTAGGGCCAGAGAAAAATGTAATCTTTCTGAAGCAGAAAGATTACACCTTCCCCATTTTTCCTGCAGGCTGAAGTCAAAACAGATTTTCTTCCATCATCTCATTATGGTGAGTGGTCTGAGCTCTAATCTGCAGTCCTGCTTTTTTTAGAATGAGATTTTTTGCAGTCCCAGCTATGTCCAGTAGGTTCTGTTCCCACTGGCTGGGGAAAGTTTCCCTTGGATAAGTGACATGAGGATGAAGCTTATTCTGAAACTTGTTACAACTGTTGGCATCTGATACCAGATCCATTGGGATATTTAAAAAAAAACCAAAAAAACAAAAAACCCCAAATGGCACAATTAACTTACGCTGGCCCATAGTTACAAACAAAATGCGCTGCTTTGAACAGTCCTGGAAAATTTTCAACTGTATTGCAGAAGTGAACTGCACAGCCAACTTTGTAGCTCTCTGACCAGATAACCTACAGGACAAAGGGAAACATGTAACACACTGTTCAAATACTGCCACAGCGGCATTAAGGGAAGAAGGAGAAGGGAAGTATCGCAGGGGTATTTAAATCAGCTGACACAGGAACAACTTAACCTGAAGGGCAGCTGGGACAAATGACGGATGAATAGCCATTTTTGCACTTATCTGGCTCCCCTGTAAAATGAAATTGCCAGGGGATAATCCCTTTCCACCATTATTGGAAGTAGAACTTGACATCCCTGGGGCTCCTAATATTTATTTCCAATCTCATGCAACAATAAACTGGGGGGGGTGCAAAGCCCTGCTGTAATTCCTGTTCTAAAGCAGTCTGTTCCAAGCCTGTACTCAGATCTTTAGTGAAATTAGACTATGTATATATTAGACTATCCATATGTTAGACTATAAAGCACTGGGCAGGTAAGACTCACCTGAGTGTAGTGACCACACTTGTCAGTACATGTATTTGTGCTGAAATCATAGCTGCTGACTTCATTAAACCAGGACCTGAGAGCTGCATCCACAGAGAAGATGCGGGCTGTACCAGTCCAGATGTTTTCTCCAACAAATGGGAAGGTGGGATGCATTTTTCCTGGCATGTCATTCCTGGCATGTCAAGGTGTGTATTATGGTTAAACTTGCACTTCTTTGCCCATGCTTTGGCACTCTTAGCTAAAGCAGCATCCCAGGACTGTAGAAAATGAAGAAAATGTACTATAACCTGCACTGCAGTCACTTAGCTGAATTCAGACATTTTTTTTGAAACTTGTTACAAATTCTTTTCCCCTTTTCTGCTTCCTATCCCTGCCTTCAGTTTCTTTCTTTTACTTGACATTTCTACTTGCATAACAAATTTTCATCTTCCTTCTCCCTTAGCTATTGCAAGACACTGTCCTGTTGTATCTGACTTGTCAATATATTTAGAGCTGGAGTGTAGTCTTTAAGCTGCTACACCTGGAAGGGGTAACTGTGTGGAACTTCCAGCTGTAGAGGGGCTTGGGGGACTTTGTGCCTAGGAGATGTTGGCTGTCCAGGAATTTTCACTTGGCAATTATTATCAGGCCAGATACGAATTCTGTTCTGCTGGCCAGGACAGAAGGGAGAGTCATAGCTGCTCCCTTCCCCAGGTCCTTCTTCCTCTTTTCTCTTCTCCCTCCTCAGCAGATGGACAAAGCAAATGAAAGACTCACTCATCTCTGTTGGACTGAGAAGGAAACACTCCCAATCCAAAGAAGCACAAATGATAATGTAACAAACCAGCCTGGCAGACTTGCAGATTTTATGCTGGCAGGTCAAGTCCAGTACGGGGAAATTCAAGTTAAGGGATGTGAGAAAAAATTGAGTTTGCGCTCCTAATAAGAGGTTTGGAGATGGCTATTTCCACTTTAAAGTAGTAGACTAAAAAACAAACAAAGTATTAGAAACTCTTTGCAAAGGAATGGCGAATAAAACCACATATATAATCACAATTCTGCAGAAGTCCTGTTAAATGCTGTGTGCAGCACACCACTCCACCTCAAGAAAGGTACACTAGAACTAGAAAGGCCAGAGAGAACCTGGAGCAAGACAATCATCTTCAAGTTCAGAGGGCTTTCATATAGCAACAGAGAGTGCTCTGCAGCTTCAGTCAGAGACATCCGTACATCTTGTGTGAAACAGGTAAATAAGCAGCATTAGCTTGCATCTTGCAATATGAAGACCACACACTATTAAATGAAGCTAGGCATTAACAGGCCCAAATCAAACACCAGGAAATAGCAACACACAACCTGTGGTTAGGCTGTGCTATGAGATGCTAGAACTGGTAAAAACTTTTATGACCTCAAGGCTGAAAAAAAAATAAAAATCCATTTTACAAGAGCTTGTAAGTACCATTATTGGACATGTTGTAAGTACACCTTTGATTCAATAGGTTTAAATATATACGTCCTACTGTTTTTCTAGAGTTGCTGGGTCTTTGGTCTGAGCAGGTAAGTTTGTTCTCGTGCACTGGCTTTTCTAATTAAACATCATTTTTAACATGGCAAGAAATTGAAGCTGTTGGTACTCTCATCCCTTTACTATGAGCTTCCATTTGTTGAAATGACTCATACTCTGCATGTGGTTATGCGTTTAACTTCCTTTCCAGCTACGCAGCACTGCTGGAGGGCTCAGAGAAGTGACATGCACTGACTGGGGTTACCTCCCTCAGCTAACTACACACATTTTTCCTTATGTATTCCACTGAACAGCCTATGTTGTGACCTATCCATAACCTGTTCTGCTATTCACTGCATTTCTAGCAAGCTGCTTTTCATCTTAGGTATCACTATCCCTACTCTTCAAATCCTGCTACAGCAAATGAAGATCAGGTATCTAAATGGATGTCCTGGAAAATCCCTCTATTCAACACATGTTCTAGATTAAAAGAAACAACAGATGATAGTTTTTCAACAAATCCTGTTGCAGACTGTCTACTCAGAAAATTTTTAAAAGCCAAACAGCTTCTTTGTGTGAAACCTGACCTGACATAAAACAGATTACTATCTCTCTTAGCAAGAGGTAGATGACATACTAAGAACTGAACACTGTTTTTTGCAACACAGCCCTTTTCTCTGGCTGAAGATGAGAGTAGCTAAATCTTGTACTAAAAATGAACTTACCTTCAAATTATTAAAATTGAATAATACTGTGAAAAATAATGTATTTTCTATTTCATACAAAGAACCAACATGTATGTTACAAAAATCATTAACTGAAATAGAATAGCACAATACAAATGAAGAAAAAGATAGCCTAAATCAGCAGCTCAATCTATAATAATTTCAAAAAGATCACAAACACCACCTTACCATGCGAAACATATTGCTGGCTGGTGGATTCACTTTGGATCGAAATGTGTTGTGAGTTCTCACACAATCTTCAATGAACTTTGCATCTTCTATATCAGGCAAGGGATATTGCAGATTAGCATGAATGAAAGTGAAGAAATCCAGTAAGAACAATGCAGCAAAGAAAAATGTGATTTTCATAATTCTCCAGTGTTTTTTCCTAAGCTTAAAAATGAAAAATCTCTTAGGTGGAGATGATACTTGCAAGCAGTTTTTCAGAGGCTGTCCCCTGGGTGTGGAAGTACTTGAAAGTGTCAAACAGGAAGCGAAGAGCAATTGCTTAATCAGGTAACAACTCTATCTGACATCATAGCTGGCAGTCAAAGGATAGAGTGTGAAACAGGCATCTGCCATGCATATCAGCAAGCCAACACTCCAAATACGCTTCTGTCTTTTCTTTGAGTGTGCTCCATCTTGGGTGACTGCCAAACCATTCTGTGATTGTTGGTCTTATCTAAAGAGATGCTGCTGAACAGCTTTCTTAAAACCTGCATCAATCATAAAAAAATGCAGCTTTGACAAAACAGAAATCTGCTATTTAGCTGATTTTCCAATAGTACTTAGTCATCCCAGCTTAGTTACAATTATGTTGCAGAACATTGCTTCCATATCAGAATTACTCAAAAAATAAACAGAATTAGGAAATCTGTGCTTCAGCAGGAGATAAAAAAAAAGGGTTCCTGAACAGCACCTTGCTGCAGAACAGACATTCTGGCCTTGTTTGGCATGTAACAAAAATAAAATTTGGAAATCCCAAGCTTGAGTATGTATTGATTGTCTCCTCCTTAGCTATTTGCTATTACCTGCTAGCCTGAAATCACTGGAGAAGTCTTCCTGTGCCTATAGAGAGCAGCTACAGGATTATCACTCCTGGTATAACATTCCAAGTCTGATCACTTCTCAGGACAGTAGGATGGTATGTGTTGGCACTTGTATTGTCTCTCCAACTGTTCGACAAGCTGGCTGAATTTTTTTTTTTTCAAACATAAACCAAATTGTACAAATATGCAAGAGCATAAGAAGAACCATGTGTTTTAAGAGCTAAGGTCTTGTAACCCAATTTTAGGTAGGTTTACAGGGAAAATTTGTTGCTAACAGATTGTAAAATATGTTAATGGGTCTCATTCCCTGCTCAGTTTTGCTGGTCACACTTAATATAAAACCATGATTATATTAAGACTACATGCAATTTACACCAAAAAAAATCATCATGCTAAAGCTGCACCATTAATTTAACAGTACAGTGATCTTGCACTTATATATGTATGCAGTTGAAATTCTGTGTTTGGAAAATGAACTGAGATTTTATGCAGTAGGAAGTTTTGATGAGTCCAGTATAGTCTAAGTTATAAAATGCGTTCTTGCATTTCTGGCTCCATCTAGTGACTTTATCTATGATTAAAGCAGAAGTTCAGCCTGCCCTGGAGCATCTATGATATTTTCCCAAGAAGAGAGCTTTTGACTTTTGCCAGCATTAAGCAATGGATCTCAACAATTAAGTTTTGGGATTTGGATATCACATTATATAGTCTGGACAATACAAGCCATTGCCTATCCTTCCACAGATCTCAAATGAAATTTAGCATCATGAGCTGGGTACACACAAGAAGCTTTACAGCCTCGTGATTTTGAAAAATTCCCCCATGTTTACATCCCACTTTCACACTTCTGACTTACTTTTAGCTCAAAATGGCTGGAAAAATAAAACCGGATTTTTAATTTTTCCTTAATGTTCTATTTAGTCAGAGGACTAAATACTGGTGAATTACATCCTATTACATAAATCCACAATGCCTTGGAACATGTGAAATTACATTTAATTTTGTTCTCGAATCGTCAACTTCCCCACAGAGTATTGTTCCTTGTGTTGGGGAGAGAAGGTCTGACCTTGATTTACTAGGTTCAGTTGAACAAATGGGGTGGATCTGCTGGGTTTTCTTATTTGGTCCACAGGATTAGGCAGCTGCAATTAGGCCTTCCAGACCTGTGAATAAACTTATATTCTGACAAGCATTGCTGCTACTATTGCACCTCAGGGCAGAAAACAGATTACAGGACAGGACAGTGGTAGTATTGAATTCCCACAAAAATTATTCTGTAAGAAACCATTTTGTTGGATTAATCAAAAGCTAAAAAATACTAAAATTATTTTGTAATAATGAGGTTGCAAACAGTTTCACAATTAACAGAGGAGGCAATTTGTATGGGACTAGACTGCAGATAGTTTTACTGTTATTTTGAGGCAATCTGGATGATTACTCCTGTAAACTTAAGTGCAAAACTTAAGTTCACACTTATCTTCATAAATTTTGTAGCTTTGGCAGTACATGTTTTTAGACCAAAGAGTGTTACCTGCCAAACTTAAGAGATGATGGATATTACAGTTTAGGCATCTGCTTTTTCTTAGGAGATCCTTCCAATACGTTCTGCATGTGACTAACCAAACTGTATTTAATTCAAGTAAAATCAGAAATAAATTTATTTGTTGATTATTTTTTCTTTTCTTTTTTATGAGATTTGTAAGGAATAAAATTTTCTTTCTTTGGCTGGATTTCATCCTTCTATTGACATTTGTGCTAAGGAATAGCCACAGATATTCTGCAATTACTGTGATTACTTCGAACAGCATCTTCAGACTTAAAGAATTCTGAACTGTGTGGCTCAGTAACTAGAGAACTGGAAATTATTATTATTTTATAAAGTTAATGTAGTAATCATGCAGTGAAATGAGAAGTGAGACTTTCAATGAGGTTGATACTGTAGACAAGAAGAGTGAATAATCGTACAAGGTACTGAGGTGAGCCAGTGCAGGGGTAATGTAGTAATTGCTTGATATTAAAAGACACTGAGCTGCCAGTTGCTACCATATGTACATCTTTGTGCTATTTACAGATGGTACTGATTTATATGGTAGGCACTAAACCATACACGTTTTACCAAAGACAACTGTTACTTGAATGTAACAACCACAAACCTCAGTACAATTCTGCACTATGAAAATTAACAATCTGACCTCACCACACCAATTTAATGGCATCAGCAGCATCAGAAACTTCATGACCTCCAATACAAATATTCTCCCCAACAGATGTGAAATTAGAATGGTACAGATGTTTCTTACTTAAGTATATGTTATGTTCAAAAATGTATTCGTCTAATGCCCTTGCAGTCTCTGCCAAAGCTGCATCCCAAGTCTACAAAGCATGAAAGGTGAAATAGCTGTGCAATGTTGAGTTACAACAAAATCTGAAACAATCAGATTAAACCAGTCAGCAATCAGTAGATAAATATCATATGCTGGAGTTTCATAAAGAAATACTTTCCCTTATTTAGGCAAGTACCACTGTTTTATTTTAATTGACTTTTCCTATTGCAGCACAGAAATACAATTTTCATTAGACGAGTTTTTCCTCCCTTCACTGTTGAAAATTAACTTTGTAACAGCACTTGCTAGCAACTGAAAAGATATTTGAAATGCAGTTTTGTCTTCAGGCAAGGAATTGCTGGCATGTTAATTAAACATGAAACCTTTTATGTTTTTTTGTTGAACAGGTCATTAAGGATTTTGATTTGATACATAAAAATTAATTCAAAGTAAAAATGCACAGATACTGTAGATTCAGTAGTACAAATATTTTAAGTTTTTTTAAGAGAACCTCTGGAAACAAATATTTACTCTTCCTATGGTATGGCTTTAAATACACATCAGGGCATTTTACAAAGACAGTTTAATGAAGTAAACGTGCCAATTCTTGGCCAGTAACTCATTCTACTACCTCTTACTTCTTTGCAGCTGATTCCTGAACATGAATCATCTTCTGTATTTCTCTTCCAGTCATGACTGTTTTTCAGAAAGTTTACCATTAAAGTGCCCAGTTTTATAACTTAATAGAAGATGCTGTGAATCATTGCTTAGGTTTACTGCTGTCCATATGTTTCAGTTCATTCTTAGTTTCTTTTTGGACTTTACAGTTAACTCCACTGGCTGCTGATACTCTTTCCTCCCTAAGGCCTTTGGTTTTTTTCAAGCCATACTTTCAGTCATAACTTTTCAAGGTTTCCATATTCCTGAGCATTTAAAACTGTGCGGCATCTTTTGCAAAAACTTCATCACTTCCAAAATCACGACCCCTCCCCTTATCTGCCTTATCTTAAAACCCACCCAAGCAAAGGGCATTCTTTGCTGAATAAATGTGTGCTCCCAAGTGTGTTCAGGACGTCATTTAGCTGCCCTTTGCTAACATGTTCCTCTTGTGGCGTTAAGCGGACTAAGCATCAAACATCTGCTTTTTCTGCGCTTTCTTCGCTTCTGTTTAACGCTTTCCACCAAAAGTTTTCACTTGCCACCGGACCTGCCCCTCAGCCCTAGGATTACAGCTCACGTGTGTGCCTTTGAAAGGGAGCCCGCCTGACGCGGTCGCTGCCGCTGTGGAGCTGTGCCGGGCCGTGGGGCCGTGGGGCTGTGCCGGGCCGTGGGGCCGTGCCGTGCCG